TGTTCCACTCTACTTCTCTATTTATTATTGTGGCAAATTGGGCTTGTAAGATTTTGATGTTTTCTATTATTTTCTGACAATTAGGTTTCTGGATTAATTTTTCTTCATTATCCATTATCTGCTTTAAGATTTCTTCTTTACCCCTCTCTCTGTTCTTATTTTTAATCGCATTTTGTTGAATGAAAAATCCTCTTATCACTGCCTTGCTTGCGTCCCATACCACATTAATCTTTGTGCCCTTGTCACAGTTATCCGTAAAATAATCTGTTAGCTTTTTTTTTGCATTTTCTACAATCTTCTGGTCATCTAAGAGGTAATCCTTTAGTCTCCATCTAAAAGTTCTTCTTTCAAAACTCTCCAGTTCCAGTTCTATCGGACTATGGTCAGATATTACTTTCGGTCTTATTTCTATTTGTTTAACTCTTGGGCACAATTCACTCGAAATCCAAACCTGGTCTATCCGTGACAGCGATTGGTGTGGCCCAGAGTGGAAGGTGAACTGTTTATCCATAGGGTGTCTGAGGCGCCAGATATCTATCAAGTTGCAGCTTTTTGTCATTGAGAAGAAGGATTTTGGTAATTTCCCTTCTTTACTTGTTCCTTCCCTCAATCTATCCGCCTCTAAAGAGACCACGCCATTCATGTCACCCATTAAAATAATTTTTTGGTCCATGCAATCTAACAGTTTCTCTTCTAGATTTTTGAAAAAGTCTGTCTTGTTACCATTTGGTGCATAAACCCCGATCACGACTATGTTTTCACCTTGCCAATTAATCTGAATCGCCACCATCCTCCCCTCTTCATCTTTAAAGATTTGTTTTGCTTCAATCTTTTTTTAACATACACCACCACTCCCCTTTTCTTTTCCTTATCTGAGGATTCAAATTCATTTCCTAATCTTTTATTAATTAACACTTTTTTATGTCTTTTGGCCACATGCGTTTCTTGAAGACAGATGATATCCAAATTTTTCTTTTTCAGAAATTGTTCAATTTTATTCCTCTTTTTTTTTTCATTCATTCCATTAATATTCCAAGTCCAAATTTTTAACCCCATAGTACCTGACATCCACCTACGATTTATTTATCCTTTTAAATTCGCTGGTTCTTCTTCTTCCCTTTCTTCCTCTTCTTCTGATCTACTTCCACTCGACTCCTCTCCTTCCTCTAATTTTGAATCTCTTGGTGATCCTCCCTCTGCTCCCTTTACTCCATTCTCCTCTGATCTCAGCTCTTTATATTTCCTTAAAAATTTACCAGTTTCTTCTAAGTTAGATAGTCTATGTCTCTTGCCTCTATAAGCGAATGAAATTCCTTCAGGAAACTCCCATCTGAATTCGATTTTATTCTTTTTTAGTGTCTGTGCTAGTGATTTATAACAATCTCTTCGTTTAAGTAGTCTAATTGGAATATCTTTGAAAATGATTATGTAATTTCCCTCTATATTCAGCCTCTTTTCCCTATTCTTTTGTAAAATCTTGTTTCTCATTTCTTTATCTCTAAATGTAATCAGGCAATCGCCTGTGAATTTCTTTGCTTTTGTTGTTTTTACACGCATTCTAAATGCATTCTGCACATTTTTTGCCATTTCCTCTACTGGTATGTCTAGCCATTCCGCCAGCTCTGTTATTAATCTTTCCTTAATATTTTCCCCTTGTATCTCTGGAACGGCTCTCAATCTAAGATTCACTTCCCTCTGTCGCAGTTCATTCATTGCTATAATGTCCTTCATCTCCTCCTGTGCTTTATTTAAATCCATCATTTCTACTTTAATCTTATCCTTATCCCGCTTAATATCCTTTAATTCCAATCTTGTCTTTTTTATTCCTTCCTCAACATTCTGCGTTCTCCTAGATACTTCTTTTATTTGACCTTTAAGTTCACTAACTGTTTCATCCATTTTTTTGTCCATTTTCCCAATTTTATTATCCACTTGTTCTAATTTATATTCTAAATTATTTTGACTCTGTTTAATTTCCACTAGCATCCTCATGATATCTGTCTTGGAGTCTGTCTCTTGTTTGGACCCCCTCCTTTCACCAGGGGTCCCCCCATTCATTCCTTTCTTCGCTGTATGAGACATCATATATTCTTATATTTCCTTAAATTACCTCGTTCCCATGTAACGCCCCTCACCCCCTCCACACCCTTCGTCTCTCCCTCCCCACCAAAGTTCCTTTTTTTCTTTTTATTATTGACACTAGACAAAGCTATTTCTTCCCCATATAAGTATATACCATTCATTCAATATATAGTTCTTGTTGTGACGCCTTCTTGCCTCTATTCAGGCTATTCCAAGTGTCCAAGTGTCCAGTTGAACACACGTCCAATAAAGGGGTTGTTGTTGTTTTCCTAGGACGCAAAGGCTGCAATGCTGTATACCCGCTTACTTGGGAGTAAGTCAAGGGAGGCGTGAGTTTTGAGTAAGCAGTGCTTAGGGTTGCAATGAACGCCTGCGTTCTTCCAAGCAGCCAAATCCTCTGGCTACGAGAGGTTCACAGTCTCGAGAAGAGAGATGGGGGTGTGCAGAAGCAGTTGAGGGTCAGATGTTTTTAATCCCGCCACTGGAGGTCTCCAAGTCTCTTCAAAATAACACTGTAGCACTACTTGGAAGTACTGCGATATCGTATATCTCCCACGGTTCAGTCACACGCACAGAGAAACCCCGTAGGACAGGCAAGTGGAAGATAGTACTTAGTATTATCAGGGACCCAGTGTTTATATATTTTTCCCACTACGGAAGTGGTTGGAGTTATTCTCTTTTTCATTTATCCCGCTTTTCTCAGTCCACTACGCTCAGAAATTTTTTAATGGCGACGGAGCCTTCTCTTCCGGTTTCACTCCCCTTCTGTTTCAATACCAAAAAGTAGAGAGAAGCGCCCTTCCGCTATTCAAATCCTCCGTTTCTTCAAGGACTTTTAATCCCACCCGTTGTCCCTGGTCTCCTTTTCCTCCCACTTCCCTTAATTCAAAGTTGCTACATATAAGATACTTTTAGGGAGAAAATAAATGCGGAGAAAACAAAGTATCCGCTAAGGCAACTCACTTTCACTTTCCCAGCACTGGAGTCGCGTTGCGTCAAGGCTGATTTCGGCTCCCAGCTGAACTCCGTTTATATCTTTCTGTTACTTCCAGGCTTCCTTGTTATTGTTATTAGCAAAATTGAATTAGTTTGAAGCCGGAGTCCTTAGTTTTGAGAATGTAGCGCTTTCTCGACAAGCTCGGGGCTTCGCTATTAGGAGGTCGGCAATGGCTTCCCTCGACCCGCTGAACAACACCGCCGCTCTTTTCACTTCTTTTGAAGCTACCTGGCGGCCGGGTTGGTCGCTTTCTGGTCGGAACGGGAACCAGACCTTCTGGACACCCTCCAGAAGTTTTTCGGGGGGCCTCCGCGCCCTGAAGCACCCCCTAATCCTCCAAAATAGCCCGGGGTTTCCCTCTCGGTCAAACCCCCGCTTGCGACGGGATCGCGCTGCACCGGAAGTCCCGGTATTAGTGTAATATAAGCTTCCTTCCACGACTCTGGCGCTTTTTTCCCCTCCAAAATTTCATTACAAACCTCCTTTAGTGGTTGAATTATCCAATCCTTCAAGGATCTATAATATTTTGAGGTTAAGCCATCTGGCCCTGGAGATTTGCCCAACTGCATGTTCTGGATGGCACCTTCCACCTCCTGTTCTGTTATTTTGTAGTTCAACATTAACTTATTTTCTTGGGAGATTTTTTGAAGTGCATTTGTTTTTAAAAATTTGTCTAAATCACACTCTTTCTGTGGCCCTTGTGTATATAGCTGTTTAAAGTACCTCTGGAAGCATTTTCTAATTTCCACTGGATTCTGGATGTTCTTTCCTTCCACTTCCAAGTTGGTAATGGTGTTAAGTTTTTGTCTTTTTTTTCATTTGCCAAGCTAACAGTTTTCCACATTTATTGGCCGATTCAAATGTCCTTTGTTTCATCTGTTTAATTTTCCATTCTATTTCCTGATTCATCATCTTCATATTTTGAACTTGGTATAACTTTATTTCTCTCAGAATCTCTTGCGACTTTGGTTTCACTCCCAGTTTCTTCTCACCCTCTTTTATTTTTTCCAAAATTTTATCTTTTTTCTCATTTTGAGTTCTCTTCTTTATTACATTCTGTTGAATTAGAAACCCCCTCATAACTGCTTTGCTTGCATCCCAGATTACTCTTTTTTCGATGGTAGTGTTCATATTTATCTCAAAATAGTCTCTCAAGGTTTTTTGGGCCTTCTTGGTAACTTCTTGATCTCTAAACAAGGTGTCATTCATCCTCAATCTGAAGGAACCGGTAGGTGTTAATTTCATCTCCATTTTCACAGCATTATGGTCGGAGCAAGTTTTAGGGCAAATTTCCAGTCCTCTAGTTATCCAGATTTGGTCAATTCTTGTCCATGTCATTTTAGCTTCAGAGAAGAAGGTTCCCTCTCTGCCCAAGGGATTCTTTATTCTCCAATTGTCAATCAAGTCCATATTGTCAGTCATCTCAAAAAAGGTTTTTGGTAGTCTGCCATCTTTGGTAACTACCTGTCTCTGCGACTTGTCCATGTTTGTAGATACCACTCCATTCATATCTCCCATCATGATAATGTTGTAATCCATATAGTATAACAATGTCTCATGCAACTGAAATTGAAGCAATTAAATGAACAAATTGTCCTCTTGGTTCATGTGGGAACCAATGACAATGCAAGCAATAGCCTCCAGAAGATCAAAAGAGACTACGAGGCTCTGGGCAGGAAATTGAAGCAATTAAATGCACAAATTGTCATCTCATCTGTCCTCCCAGTTGAACAACGTGGCCCAGGGAGAGAGGGAAAAATAGTGGAAGTGAACAGCTGGCTTCACAAATGGTGTAAACAGGAGCGGTTTGGATTCTTAGATCACGGACTGCAGTTTCTTGAAGATGGACTTCTGGCAAGCGATAGGCTGCACCTCACAACGGTTGGGAGGAATGTTTTTGCCAAAAATCTCAGAAACCTCGTCAGGAGGGCTTTAAACTGACTAATGTGGGGGAGGGAGACAGTGCTCCTGAAGGTAGGAGTCTATCAATTGATGAAGATGATCATCCAAATGTCATAGACCAAATGGAGCAAACAGCACGCAGACCTAGTGGTGGGAGGAAAAATCCTTAAATAAGAGACACGGGGAATGATTAATGGACTTCAATGTCTGTACACTAATGCGCAAAGCATGGGAAATAAACAAGATGAGCTTGAGCTCTTGGTACAGCAAACTAAATATGACATAATAGGCATCACTGAAACCTGGTGGGATAAGTCCCACGATTGGAATGTAATAATGGAGGGATCCAATCTATTTCAGAGAAACAGACCAGACAAGAAAGGAGGAGGAGTGGCGTTATATGTCAGGGATGTGTATACCTGTGAAGAGATCCAAGATTTAGAACCTCAAAGCCAAAGTGAGAGCATTTGGGTCAAAATTAAGGGAGAGAAGAATAACAGAGACCTCATTGTGGGAGTTTACTATAGATCCCCAAGCCAAACGGAGGACATAGATGATGCCTTCCTGGAAGAGATGGCCAAGCATGCAAAAGGAAGGGAGATAGTAGTAATGGGGACTTCAATTACCCGGATATTTGTTGGATGTCAAACTCAGCCAAGAGCATAAGGTCAAACAGATTCCTCACTGGCCTTGCAGACAACTTCATTGTCCAGAAAGTGGGAGAAGCAACAAGAGGAACAGCCATTTTAGATCTGGTCCTAACCAATGTTGATGACCTGGTTAGTGGGGTAGAAGTGGAAGGATCTTTAGGCGCGAGTGATCATGCTCTTCTGAAGTTTACTATACAGCGGAAAGGAGCAGCCAAGCATACTAGGACTCAATTTCTTGACTTTAAGAAAGCCGACTTCATAAAACTTAGGGAAGTGCTGGGTGAGATCCCATGGACAGTAATACTAAAAGGAAAGGGAGTTCATGATGGCTGGGAGTTTGTTAAGAGGGAGATAGTAAAAGCACAACGTCAGGCAATACCAATGAGACGGAAACATGGAAGGTGCCTAAAGAAGCCAGGATGGCTATCTAAAGAACTTTTAACTGAGTTAAGATTAAAAAGGATGTGTACAAAAATGGAAAAGGGGGAAACCACCAAAGAGGAATTCAAACAAATAGCCAGCACGTGTAGACACAAAGTCAGAAAAGCTAAAGCACAGAATGAACTCAGGCTTGCTAGAGAGGTTAAAAGCAACAAAAAAGGCTTTTATGGGTATGTCCGTAGCAAAAAGAAGAACAAAGAAACAGTGGGGTCACTCAGAGGAGAAGATGGTGAAATGCAAACGGGACACAGAAAGGGCTGAACTCCTCAATGCCTTCTTTGCCTCAGTCTTCTCCGATAAAGAAAACAATGCCCGACCTGAAGAATTTGGAGCAAATGATTCAGCAGAGGAAACACAGCCCAGAATAACTAAGGAGATAGTACAAGAATACTGGGCTAGTTTAGATGTATTCAAGTATCCAGGGCCAGATGAACTGCATCCAAGAGTATTAAAAGAACTGGCAGAGGTAATCTCAGAACCACTGGCAGTCATCTTGGAGAATTCCTGGAGAACAGGCGAAGTCCCGGCAGACTGGAGGAGGGCAAATGTTGTCCCTATTTTCAAAAAGGGGAATAGAGAGGACCCAAATAATTACCGCCCAGTCAGTCTGACATCAATACCAGGGAAGATTCTGGAGCAGATCATTAAGCAAACAGTCTGTGAGCACCTAGAAAGGAATGCTGTGATCACCAATAGTCAGCATGGATTTCTGAAAAATAAGTCATGTCAGACAGGGGGTTGGCAGGGGCTTGGCAGGGGGTTGGACTCGATGGCCCTTGTGGTCTCTTCCAACTCTATGATTCTATGATTCTATGATTCTATGACTAACCTGATCTCGTTTTTTGACAGAATTACAAGCCTGGTAGATGAAGGGAACGCAGTGGATGTAGCCTACCTTGATTTCAGCAAGGCATTTGACAAGGTGCCCCATGATATTCTTGTAAAGAAGCTGGTAAAATGCGGTCTTGACTATGCTACCACTCAGTGGATTTGTAACTGGCTGACTGACCGAAGCCAAAGGGTGCTCATCAATGGTTCCTCTTCATCCTGGAGAAGAGTGACTAGTGGGGTGCCACAGGGTTCTGTCTTGGGCCCGGTCTTATTCAACATCTTTATCAACGACTTGGATGATGGACTCAAGGGCATCCTGATCAAATTTGCAGATGACACCAAACTGGGAGGGGTGGCTAACACCCCAGAGGACAGGATCACACTTCAAAACGACCTTGACAGATTAGAGAACTGGGCCAAAACAAACAAGATGAACTTTAATAGGGAGAAATGTAAAATTTTGCACTTGGGCAAAAAAAATGAGAGGCACAAATACAAGATGGGGGACACCTGGCTTGAGAGCAGTACGTGTGAAAAGGATCTAGGAGTCTTGGTTGACCACAAACTTGACATGAGCCAACAGTGTGACGCGGCAGCTAAAAAAGCCAGTGCAATTCTGGGCTGCATCAATAGGAGTATAGCATCTAGATCAAGGGAAGTAATAGTGTCACTGTATTCTGCTCTGGTCAGACCTCACCTGGAGTACTGTGTCCAGTTCTGGGCACCACAGTTCAAGAAGGACACTGACAAACTGGAACGTGTCCAGAGGAGGGCAACCAAAATGGTCAAAGGCCTGGAAACGATGCCGTATGAGGAACGGCTAAGGGAGTTGGGCATGTTTCGCCTGGAGAAGAGGAGGTTAAGGGGTGATATGATAGCCATGTTCAAATATATAAAAGGATGTCATATAGAGGAGGGAGAAAGGTTGTTTTCTGCTGCTCCAGAGAAGCGGACACGGAGCAATGGATCCAAACTACAAGAAAGAAGATTCCACCTAAACATTAGGAAGAACTTCCTGACAGTAAGAGCTGTTCGACAGTGGAATTTGCTGCCAAGGAGTGTGGTGGAGTCTCCTTCTTTGGAGGTCTTTAAGCAGAGGCTTGACAACCGTATGTCAGGAGTGCTCTGATGGTGTTTCCTGCTTGGCAGGGGGTTGGACTCGATGACACTTGTGGTCTATTCCAACTCTATGATTCTATGATTCTAGTCCAACCCCCTGCAATGCAGGAATCTCAGGTCAAGCATCCAGAACAGATGGCCATCCAACCTCTGCGTAAAAACCTCCAAGGAAGGAGAGTCCACAATCTCCCAAGAGAGACAGTTCCGCTATTGAATAGCTCTCAATGTCAGGAATTTTTCCTCATGTTTAGCTGGAATCTCCTTTCTTGTAACTTGAAGCTATTGGTTCAAATCCTACCCTTGAGAGCAGGAGAAAACAAGCATGTTCCCTCTTCCATGTGACAGCCCTTGAGATATTTGAAGATGCCTCTCCTATCCCCTCATAGTCTCCTCTTTTCCAGGTTCAACATACCCAGCTGCTTCAACCAGTCCTCATAAGGCTTGGTTTCCAGACTCTTGATTATCATATTGAAAGTGCATGTTCACTTGATGGAATGTTCCTCACTCAAAGGAACAATTCACCATCTGAGAGAGCTTCATCTTACCGTCTAACCTCTTTATCCAGGGAAATCTGGCATCAGCTCCATTTATATGTTACTGGACTATTAGAGTTGAGAAGATTTGTCACTGTTTGAAGTAAGCAGATACAACAGGAGAAATCAGCTAATACATTGCTGCCAAGGAGTGTGGTGGAGTCTCCTTCTTTGGAGGTCTTTAAGCAGAGGCTTGACAACCATATGTCAGGAGTGCTCTGATGGAGTTTCCTACTTGGCAGGGGGTTGGACTCGATGGCCCTTGTGGTCTCTTCCAACTCTATGATTCTATGATTCTATTCTATGTTTCTATGATTCTATCCCACATGTTTTTATTAATTAAATGTAAAATATCTCACAGTTCTTTTAGTAGCTCAAAGGTTTTTTTTTAATATGAAAATGTATTTATATATTTAATAAATTAATATATGTATTGATTACAAGACAGGCAAGAAATCAGCTAGTAATTTTGTAGCCCAATAACATCTCTATTAAGTATACATGTGCATTATACATCCTTATAGTCTTTCAGGGTCTTGATAGCCCCCCCCCCATTTTCTGGCTACCCTCTCCCAATTTTATTCAATTACAAAGAGATTTTAAACATTTATCAGTAAAAGTTTTTGCCAAAAGAGGAAGAAATGATTCCTTGAACAGATCTGCTTTGTTGCATAGGATGTTCTCATGGGAATTCATTAAGTCTGCTTTTGTAACTCTTTTCCACTTGTTTAATCTGTTTGAATGTTTTATTATATGCATAAAATTAAAATACATAGATTTTACAGAGAGAAAAGGTTGAATAAAAAGTTAGAAAATATACAGGCCTTTTATTTATCCTCCAAGGATGGCAGACAGAACATGGGGGGGGGGGGTTTACAACAGCAACAACAGCAACAACAAACAACCCTGCAAGGTATGGGATAAATCAGCTTCATAAAAGCAATGTGCTTAAGTGTAATTAATGCATGAAGGCGTTAAGACCATGGAGTAAGCTGTCCTGCCAGGCTTAGCTGGGTCATTCCCCCCTCACCTTGGGAGGAAGGGTTGCTGAATAATTCTGCTGCCTAGAAGCCCCTTCCAGTCTTACATGACACACTTAGGCACAACCGAACTGATGTGACAGCATCCTCACATCTTTCCCTTCCAGAAAGAAAGGAACATATGAACCAACAGTTCTCTATTAGCCTCTGGCTTGGCTTCCTTGGCCTTGTAGATCTATGAGGTGTAGTTAGCACTTCAACTTCTGCTTTCCTTTGGTCACTTCTGTCCATGTCTACCACCTGATGTCTCTGATCACCACTAAACTCTTCTGATTTTGCTGTATCTGTAAGCCGAGTCTGTTTTTTTATCTGTTTAGGAATCAGTTGAAGATATCTTCTGTTTCTCCTACACGTTTTTCAGTCATCACCTCATAAGACTGAAGAACTGTTTCTTAAGTGACTACAGTAGAATTACCAGACATCCCCGGTTCCCGGGGACAGTCCCCAGATTTGCAAATGTGTCCCGGACAAATTCTGTCCCCAGAATGTCCCAGATTTCAATAAATATCCCCAGGAAATGGGACGCCAACAGGAGCAGCCGGAATCAACTCAATTGTTTGGTAGGGAGAAGGCTCTGTGATTGCCAAGCACAGGCACACATGCAAGAGAGGGAAAATCAGAAAGAAAAGCCCCTTTTCTCTCCGTCGGCCTCATTTACATCTCCCTGGATGGCATCCTGGCCTCTGGCAGTATCCAGTTCCAGCCTTTCTTCAAGCTTTGCTTCCCCTCCCTTCCTTGCTTTTTCCTCTCCTTGACGCTGCTGCTGCGCCCAGCGGAGATCAAGAGCAAAGCTGGTCGAGCTCAAAGCAATGGGGAGAGAAAGGAAGAGAGACAGAGAGGGCAAGGAGGGCGGGGGCGGGGAGTGAAATCGCCCTTAAAAGAAAAAAGAAAAAGAAAAATCCCAGTGAATTGTATTGCCAGCCCCCTTTCGTCTATGCAC